TTCTCTCTCTCTCTCTCTCTCTCTCTTTCTCTCTTCCCCCCCACCTCTCTCTCACCTGGCCCGGAGCGCAAACCCCACCGTCCGTCCCCCCCACCTCTGCGGCGCGCTCTCCGCCATCCCCCGCGAGGCCAAAGCGCTCCCCGGTCAGGAAGCCGGCAGGACCGGCGATCCCCACCGGGTAAGGGTCCCGATTCCGCCCCGCCGCCTCCCTTTGCCTTCGGGAGGGGTATCGGGGGGTCTTAAGGCAGCGCCTCTCCGCAGGGCCGTCGCCCGGCCGCCGCTCTTGGCAGAGCCCGGCCGGGAGCGCGCTCGAGCCTCCGTGACCCGGCTCCCTTCGGGCCGTGGGAAGCTCTTGCCCGACCCGGGCCAGACCGGGATTTTAACGCGGGTTTCCTCAAGCTGGTTTCCGGAGTTGGCCCGACCCTCCGAGGGTGCCACGCAGAGCGGGCCGCGCTGGGTTCGCTGAAGGTTTCCAGGTTGAAAAGACCTCCCAACCCGCCGTCCTTTCCGTCGAGGGGATTTCTCAGGGGTCCCTTTCTAAATGCGGGAGCTTCACCCACACCCGCCGCAAAGCGCTGACGACCACCGAAGGGGTTGCGGCGCTGTCTCTCCACCGACCTCGGAAAAGATCCGCTTTCCCAGGAGGAAAAAAAAAAGCAGAGCTGGGAGAAAAAAACGCACCCACCCGCCGTTTAAAAATGGAGAGGGGGACGGAGATTCCTAGCCGGAGAGCGGCGGTTCCGGTCCGACCCGTCCCACGTGCGAAATCCGATCCGAATTGAGTCAAGCGACCAAAAGCGCCCGGTTGCCCCTTTCTTGCCCTCCCCACCGGCATTAAACGCGCTCTCCCCCCTTAATCCCAAAAGGCGGCTTGTTTTAGAAGCGGAAAGGAGGCGCCGCCGCAAGAACCCAGAAGCGACTCCACTTCCCACCTGCCGGGCGAGAGAGGAAAGGAAACGGACAGGTCCGCCGGTCGGAATTCAACGAAATAAAGCGGTTCGCGAAACAAAACCGGCCGTCGAAGAACTACCAAGGAACTTGGAGGAGATTCTGACCGAGGGGGAGTCGGGCCTGCCACGCCGGGGCAGTCAGGTCGGTCCTTCCGTAGAAAACTGACTTGCCAAAGCCGCGTTTCGTTCTCTTCCTTCCGAGCGCGCAAAAAGAGGCGCGCGAAGAGGCGCATCTCCCGGCGGCGAAGCGCTCAACTTTTAATTACTACCGTATTTGGGGAAGCGGATTTTTTTTCCCCCTCCCCGCCACTGCAGGGCAAACGGAAGAGAAGGGGAGGAGGTGGCCCAGGCCAAGGGAAGGGGGTCCGCGACGAATCCGGATTCGTTCCGAATCTTCCGAACGAAACCTCTTCGGAAAAGGGTGAGACAGACCCGCGCCCTTCGTAAACCCGCGGAGAGGAGGCGGGAAGGAAAGCCGACTGCACCCTCCGCCAGGACCCTAGGAATTTGGGGTCCCTGGATCAGTTCCCCTCGAAAAGCCCAGCGCCCTCGGACAGCGCCTGCTCCCCAGGATCCGTTCGCCTGCCTCCCCTTCTCGATGGGCCTGCAGGTGGGTCGGCCGGCCGGCCGGCGGTCCCCAAAGGCTGCGGCGGAGAGCGCCTTTCCCGGCCCATCGGGGCCGGAAGCGGTGCGCCCTTTCGGGTCTTCCAACGGGGCCGCTCAAATTCCAGAATTTGGCGAGGGCGACGCCAAGATGCTCAAAAGGGTCCGCTTCCACTTCCAGGGCTCCGAGGCAGAGAGCCAGAAGCGGAGCGAGGGGGAAAAGACGGGGGGTGGGGAGGCGGCGTTGGGGTCCTGGAATCGGCCTCCAGTCACCGCAGTGGGAGGAGATTGCCGGCACCGCAATTAAGCTCCCTTCCCCCCCCCCCGGGGTGGCTTTTTTTTGCCCCGCCGCAGACGAGATCGGGAGGGCGAGCCGGGCTGCGGGCGCTTCGGGGGTCTGGGCCGCGGGGCGAGGGGGGCAGCGCAGGCCTCCGCGGCTCGTGGCTTTTCTCTGGTGCTCCTCCGTCTCTTTCCAGGGAGGGGTCCGCGCTTAGCAGCCCCCCCCCCCCCCCCCCCCGCTGCAGCGAGCCTTCCGCTTGGCCTGCAGGGGCCGTCCCCAGGGAAAGCGGCTGCTTGTCGGCTCGGCTCCTTTCCCACGGTCGGCGGCGGAGTTCACGGAAGGAGGCGAGCAGAGGGCTCCATCCGGAGCAAAGCGGGCGGCCAGGGCCAAGCAAAGCGGGGAGAAGCCGGCTCCACCGTCGCCTTTCTGGTGGGGACCCGCACCGACGGTGGCCAAGCGAGGCCGGCCGGCCGCCCCTCCCGGGCCTGGGCTCCCGGGCGCCTCGCCCTCCCTCCCGGCGCGGCCCACACGGGCTCCCAGGGCCGCCGCCGCCGCCGCCGCCCGCCTACCTGAAGTAGTCCATCTTGCAGAAAATCTCCTGGTTCTTGACGTAGCAGCTGCTCTGCTGGCGGAGCGGCGTCCGGCAGACCGAGCATTCCAGGCAGCGGGCGTGCCAGGTTAGGTTGTTCACCTGCGGGCGACGGAGAAGCGCGCTAGGCGAGGCCCGGCCCGGCCCGGCCCTGCCCTCCCCGCTCCCGGCCCGCCCGAGCGCCCTTACCTTCAGCAGGTAGCGGTCCACGATCTCCAGGCCGCAGCTGGAGCAGACGCTCTTGGCCCCCGGCGGCAGCGAGGACGAGGCGGAGGAAGGCGGCGAGCAGACGGACGGCGTGGACGGGGTGCTGGCGCCCGAGCGCGCCTCCTCTTTCTCCAGGGCGCCGGCCAGCGCCTCCCCGTCGGGCTGGGCCTGCGGGAGCCCGAGAAAGCGAGCGGCGGGGTCAGCCGCGGTGAGCCTCCACCCCCGCACCCCTAGCCCGCCAAGAGCCGGGCTTCGTCCTCCCCGTCGGAGGCTTACCATGGCGGAGGAGAGCGGTGGCGGTGGGGCTGGCGGCAGCCGTGGGGCTCCGTCCGTGGGGCTCCAGCCCCCCACCTACAGCCGCCCCGTCCGGACGACGGAGCCCAACTTCGGAGCGGCCATGGGGCTCGGCGTCCAGCGACGAGCGAGGCGCAAAGCGCGGCGCGTCTGAACCAGCCAGCGGTGGCGGCGGGAGGGGAGGGCGGGGGAGGAGAGGAGAGGCGCGGGCGGTGGGGTGGGGGGGGGGGGGGGAGGGAGGGAAGGAGAGCACCTCGGGCAGCGGCTCCGGAGGCAACCGCAGCGCGCCCGCTCGCTCTGCCCAGCCAGAACCGCAGCGGCACCAGCCGCGCCTCCGCCGCGCCTCCTCCTTGCTTCCCCAAGTCGCCGCCCCGAAGCACCTGCATTTAGCCCCGCCGCCGGGCCGGAGAGGCGCGCGCGCACCTGGCAATCAGCCTGGCTTGGGTGGGTGGG